ATGTGTGTGTGAGAGAGTGTGTGTATGTCTGTGTCTGTGTCTGTGGGTGTGTGGGTGGGTGTGTACACACACATGTGTGTGTGCACGTGTGTATATACACATGTGTACATGTGTGTGTACACGTGTGTACAAACACATGTGTACATGTGTGCGTGTGAGAGAGAGTATATGTAAGTGAGTGAATGGTTATGCAATTTATTGTATATTCATATTCAATTTTTGTTTCAGAATATTTCTGACACAAGCCGGCTAAACTCGCACTGTCACTGTTTACTTATGTTCAATTATCGATCCAAATTTTAAGAGAATACTTCAATTTTCACACCACAAGCCAAGGCTTGACTTTAGTGTGTAGAACTACTAGGCCTAAGGCCACAGCCTACAGCCTTTGGGTGAGTTACAGCCTTTGGGTGAGTGCCAGTGGTGACAGACTGACAGGTCTCATGGTGCGCCCTTGTGCTCACCGATTTTCTGGACGTTGATAACTACTCTTTCTTTTTAGAATAAGCACTCACCCGGAGTCCCGGATTATCGGATACAACAAGAGAGGATGCGCGTAAGGCCGTAAGCTCACTCTATTAAGAGCCGAAGCCTGAAGGCTCAAAGGACACCTTCTTCCATATTAGGCTTCATGCTTTAAGCCATGGTCCTGAGCTCTCTCTTATAGTTCAACTCCAACTCTGGAATTTTGAACAATCTCGTCCGTCGTCTCTTTGTTATATCTTTTACTGTTCTAATTTTAAAAGGGCTATTTATGCTTTTAGCCTTTTACCGTCTTGAGACTTGGGTCAGCTGGACTCACTGAGGCGCCCTCATCCTCACGAGTCTTGACTCGAGCCTGATCAAGGAATAGTGATCAGTGAATGCTGGATTCTGATTGTAGTAACAAACAGTTTCCCGTTAAAATTTTTATGAATCGAATAAAGATACGTTTACGCTCAACTTTTATTCCATGTACAGTCCTCTATATGTTTCTAGGTGCAATTTTTCGGTGTAAAAATTGGTGTGTACAGTTTTCAATATACAAACTAGTCTTTTAAAAAAAGTTTAGGTGCGCCTTTCCAAAAACTGATATAACGTTTAAAAAAATGAAAAAAAAATGCGTTTACGTTCAACTTCTATCCCGTAGTACCCGTACCTCATAACGCAATGAGCTTAGGTCACTCACTCACTCTGTCTGTCCACTCGCTGAATACAGTGAATAGTGAATTAGTATTTTTAGTGATCACAGTGACTGTTGCCTCTGCGGCCTGCCCACTCTCAGAGTCTCCAGTCTCCAATCTCCAATGTACAAAGTACGCCCCCCAGGGCTCAGTGACCAGTGATACTGTATTACTGACCTCACTATTATATTTTATTAAAGACAAAAATAAAACAATTCGATAATAATTATTGATTTTTAATTACTTTCGGCTTCCAGTTTGCTGATCCTCCCGATTGTTTCCGACTTTCCGCACGGACAGGGAGGGGCGCAAGCCTGCAGAGTGCAGAGTGAGCAGAGTCAGCAGACTAATAAGTGTATAGATAATAGAGTGCTGTCTTCTTTTGCTGAATGCTGGAGCCATGCAGAGTGCTGACACTGCTAACTCACTGAGTGCTGACACTGCTAACTCACTGAGTGCTGACTGCTGTCAGTGCTTACTGCTTAGTGCTTACTGCTTACAGAGTTGCAACTTGCACCCTCAGTTGGAGTCACTCTCGGACAGCTGCGAGGTATTTTTAAATAAAATGGTGTTAAAAGTACGAATGAAGTCGATGTGATGCTTCACACACGTGAAATATAAACGTGGTTTTAGAGGAAATTTAAGTATACGAAGCTTTTACTGGAAGTTATCAACGTAAAACATTCGTAAATTACTCATGGAGCCATAATCCACTCCTCTACTCCGCTTCTAATTAGAAATAAAATGTAGCAACAGTATCTGTGGCGAAAAGGTGCCATCGGTGCTTTTGCTTTCGCTGCAGACTACACAGCCAATAGCCTTCGGTCCGCAAAATCGCTGAAAGCATTTATTTAGTATAATACACGAGAATAATACATTCATGTCGTAAACTTAGAGTTAGTTCAGGTGAATCTCTATGGGAATCTTCGCATCTTCAGCACACGTAATTTGATGCGGCGGTAGTAATCTTTTATATTCAGTAGGTATTTCGAAACCCCCAAAGTCCGGCTTTTCTGTAAACGAATCAGACTGTGTGCTCCAAACCCCGTGGACCTTCGACAAATCACACATTAAATTTTGGCTTGTGTGTCAATACCGATATAGATATGGATGCACATAAAAGCTGTCTGCATTGTATAGTTCTTGCCTTCAACTTTAGCACTGTACGTACACTGTTATCAGCTCCTCGACGGTTATCAGCTCCTCTACGGTTATCAGCTCCTCTACGAAGGACCTCCTTGTGCGCATTACTGAAGGTCGTGCATGCATTACTCTAGCACTGACACGCAATATTCTACACTACAAATTTTATATAGGATTGTACCTGTGATAATCAGTTGATCTTGACTTAGTTAACTCTAGGTTATAGACCAACTCCAAGGAAATGCTGATGGCAGCAAATCCCTATTCCTCAGAGAATTTTTCACCCGCCGCATTGCAGAAAGTAATTCAAGAGGCTCAAGGAAATACCATAAGTGGAGACATTGTATCGAACAACTTACCTAACGATGGTAAAAGTACATTGCAAGTCCCCAACAACCACACCCAGCATCAACGTCAACATCAACATCAACAACAGTATGCTGTTGACCACATCGATAACAGAGCACATACAAGTGGCGCTTTAAATTATACACACCCACATACACAATCATTGCAGACTCATTTCGAATATCCTAACAAAACATCTCGCGTTGATCAGTCAGGGAGTGCGTCTGCTGCACACTTTCCTGGCGCGATGCCTGTACGAGAGAACAATGATATGCAGAATCGTCTGCATCCCGATAATGGACGTAGTAATATAAACCCAGATTTGAATGTAACGAACGATTTCGACGTGTACAACAACTACAACAACAGATACTCGCAGCATATGCTCCCCCCACCTAACATTCCACCGCCCTCATCGCATATGAACAAACTCAACGTTTCCAGAAGTATGGATAACTTGCCAGCATATCCTGAAACCTTTGCCGCTCCAAGAGGGCTAGGGTTGAGGCAGTATTGTTGTGTATATCCCTCGTGTTTTTCGGACCGGGTTAACAAGCGTAACAATATCGAGCGTCACGTCTGGACTCAGCATGTACGTCATCAATTAGACTTATCCGAGGCTAGGTACTTCGCCCGGTCGTATAAGAAGTACGTTGATCTGTATGTACATGAGGTGCCTACACGTGCGCAGCCTCAAATCACCCCCGCACAAAGTCAGGCGGCCAATATCAATCTGGATGCGCAGACTCGTCAGGTACACCGGTTTAAATCGGAAGCGCAACAAAGCCTACAAGAGCGCAAGCAGGGCTTAGGGCAACCCTACAGGAGGGTGCAGAGCAACACACATCAGTCATCGCTGAGTTATCCAAACAGTCGGGGTGCCTCTCCCCAAAGCAGTATCAGCTACACGCCGGAGGATGCGAACTCGCCTCAGTTTAGTGCGCAGCAGATGGACTTGCACCGACGCCAGATGATGAGCATGCACGGACAGCCGCTGCACGTCAATGACACACGCGCACGGTCCAAGTCTGTTATGCAGGGTAACAAGTACGGTACTGTGGTTGATCAGTCGGGTATGGCACCCGGAGCGGGCATGAACAATCAGTTGAATGTGAGTTATGGGGACGGCGCCAAGGGTCTACTAGATGTGTCCCGAGGGCAACCTGTGAGACGCTTCACAGGCGCAAATATGATGGATCCTTCTCAGCAGAACGGTGCGGGTGCGAAGCAAACATTGTATGCCGTGTCAGCCCCACAATCACCGAAGCGTCGATGGGACGCAAGCGACTCGATGGCACAGACACGACCCCAGTCGGTCACTTCAAGCTACCACAACAACGCAAACGCGCTGAGGGCGGGTGCGGAGAATCAATCCCAGAATCAGCCCTCAGACATGTTAAGCATGCACTTGGATCGACAGCTCCGTCTGGTCCAGGAGGTACGGGGCAATAACAATGATTTGCAATCGCAACCCTCCTGGAATGGGAATGCAAACACAAGTGCTAATTCTAACGCAAACGCGAGCGAGCCAAAGGAGGCTATCTCACCTGTTGCCCTACAAGTACCGAATCTGCAGGTATCTGCCGCAGTCGACTCGAATGTAAACTCTCAGGGGAATATCGGTGGCGGTGCGTTACAGACTAGGGGGACTGAGCAGCCGTCACAATCTTTGCAACCTCAGAAGAAACAATTAGCGCCACTTCTTGCAGCTCTCCAAGCCATGCACGAGATGCCAGAGACGAGCGAGACAGATGGTGCCGGGAACCGTGCGAGTGGTCCAGTGTTTCGACCTTGGTAGTATACCTCCATATCGCACATGCATATGTACGTCTAGTCACGTGAGAGAACGTCGGTATCTTGCAGATTGGTAGCTTCTCTTCGGCTTTCGGTCTTGTTGGAAATGGTATACGCGAGTGTTACGAGAAACAATTTAGAAGTCAAGTGGGCGGAAAAATGTTCATTTTGCGATGAAGTGCACCGAGTCTGTGAAACTCGGGCGAACCCCACCCCACATACAACAATTTTTATCAATAAATATTAGGTTTTAAGGCGAATGTTCAATTGTAAGTGTTCTTTTCGGGAGAATACGACGCAGTTTCTGTTCAGGCCTGGTTAATTGTGTGAGAAAGAGCGCTTTCATTGTCCTGCTGTCGACCATCGAAGTGTCTTGCAGCTGAAAAAACATCAAAACTTTGTTTCATTGATTTGCCCTATATATACACCTTATGAACTATTGTAAAAATACAACATAACTCAAACATACATGTACATATATT